TTTGTCGGTCGTGGGGCTTGAACTCTGGGCCTGGGCTCTGTTCTTCAGCTCTTCAGCTCAAGGCTAGCTCTCTACCACTTGAGCCACAGAGCCACTTCTGGTTTTCTGGTGGTTTATTGGAGATAAGAGTCTCACAGACTTTCCTGCCAGGCTGGCTTTGAACCTTGATCCTCAGATCTCAGCCTCCTGAGTAGCTAGGATTACAGCGTGAGCCACCAGAGCCTGGCTCGTAGTTTCCTTTTGATGAAACATTCTCTTTATTAATAGGAGCGGCTCTTTTTTTTTGGTTCTTCTGATAGGTTTCTATTTGAAGTCTATTTTCTCAGATGCAAAGATGGACTCTCCTGTCTGTCTTCAGTCACAATGTAAAATGACTAAGGTCATCTTGCAAGATGATCTTAAATGGTATTCCTAAGAGATTAATATCATTAATATCATTGAGATTGCGACTGATGTCACTGAGCTACATTGAAGCTCTGCTGTGATGCTTTAATGAGAGAAATTATGTAATCACTTGGCACAGTGCTTAGTGTACATGAAGCTAAATAATAATAGAATTTTTTGATGGTGTTGGGCTTTGCATAGGCTAGCGCTTTATCACTAAGCTTCACATCCAGACCCCCTAGTCCCTGACATTTTGCGAAGCACTTATGTCCATAATCTCATTTAATCCTCCACACTATCAAGTCAACTGTGTAGCAAAGAAGATGAAAGCTAAGAGAGAGCTAAGCCAGAGAATTATGAGGGTTGAGGCAGGAACAGAACCCAGGTCCTCCTGAAGCCAGAGCTGAGGTTTGGATCATGAGGCCATTTGGTTTTAGAATTCTTTATAATTTTTATTTTTTATTGTTATAAAGGAGATGTACAGAGAGGTGACAGTTACATAAGTCAATTAATGAGAACATTTCTTCCCTCCCAACCCCCTTAGAATAGTTTTGTCTTTATGTTCATATGGATCTTTTAAAAAATCCATTTATTTTTCATAGCAACCGTTTATGACTTCTTTTTAAAAATTTTAAAATAGTTCTTAGAAAGCTGATATATGAAAGAGTACATTTCTTTTGTGTGTGTGTGTGTGTTTTAATTATGGTAACATGTACTTCATTTCCTTTTTTAAATTTTATTTTATTGTAAGATGCTGTACAGAGGGGTTACAGTTATATAAGTAAGGTAATGAGTACATTTCTTGTCGAATGAACATTGTTACACTCTCCTTTTTTTTTCCTACTGTCTCTTCCCTCCCCCCCCCCCACCTGCCAAAGTTGTAAAGATCATTTCCAACATAGTGTCTTGTGGGTATCATTGTTGCAGTGGGTCATCCTGTGTCCTTGTTTGGACATTTTGTTATTCCCCTTCCCCTCCCCAAATTAGATAAAAGTATATACAAGATTCAGGGTACCAAAATCAAATACAGTCACAATGGGAGATATACCATAGGAGGAAGAACATCGCCCCATTTGTTAGGAAATGGAAAGACTTGGAAAAAATCATATAAAGTGAACGTAAGCCAGACCCAAAGAAATTAGGTCCTATGATGTCCTTTATTTGCAATAACTAGTATACGTTTATGATAGTCTTATCAGATGAGCAGAAAAGCTCAAAAACTATGTACATATGACCATATAAGATGATGCTAAGCAAAATGAATGACAAGATATGGACACAAGAAGTTCTTCTTCGTTGTTGTTGTTGTTTTTTAACGTACTATATGATTTTTTTTGTTTCTTTTGAACAAGTACATTTCCTTTTGGACAATGTCATTCCTTCCCTTGCTCTCTCACAGTTTTTCCTGTCTCTACCCACAAGTTGTATAGTTCATTTTCAGCATAGTGTCTGGTGAGTGCTACTGCTGCATTTGTTCACCCTTTGTGCCTCCATTTCTGTGTGTTTATAAGGGATTTGGAGATTTAGGGGCTGCACGCACACTGCTCCTTCTTCTTTCTACCTCCTTCCAAATTGCTTGCTTGCTCTCATCTTGTTTAGAATTCTTTCCTAGGACTAGAGATGTAGCTTAGGGGTAGAACCCTTGCCTAGCATGTGTGAGGTCCTAGGTTCAATCCTTGACACAGCAAGAAAAAAAAAAGAGAATACTTTCCAAATATAAACACCCCCAGCGAAGGCCTACAGGAGACCTGGCAACCACCCAAAGTGGAGGGCAGGACTCCTGGCTCCAGGCTGTGAAGTGTGAGGCCTTTGGAGGATGACTCAGGCTAGCTGTCTTGCTTTCCAGACCCAGCTCAGCCTCCTTCTAGCTTGCAGAGACTCCTGCACGTTGATCTCATCATCCCCAAACATGCGGATTATGATCGTTTACTTGTTAAAGACTGGTTAGGAGCTTGCTCTCAGGCCCTGAGAGGCACCAGAGCTGTGGAATCAGGCTCTCCCGAGACCCTCATTGGCAGGGAGATGGCAGTTGAGGCTGGCTCACACCCAGCAAGCCTCAGAGCCAGCTGTGTGGAGGCAGCATGTGCTAAAAATAACCACCATGTCTTGCAGGGATACAGGCAGCGCAGGCAGATGGGAGCAGGGAAAGAAAGGGCGGGTTCCTCATCCACCACCAGGACTCCCCACCATCAACGTGTGTGCCTGCAGGTGGAGGGGAATTCTCCCATCCCCAACTCCAGCAGACTTTGGCTGCAGACGCTGTGGGGAAGGCAGGGCCTGCTTCCTCCAGCCAAGTGCATGGAAAAGCCCTCTAGTGCTGTCCAGTGGCAATATAATGTGAGTTACAGATGAGGTTGAAATTCGCTAGGAAGCCACGTTAAATATGTATTTAATATGCTTTATTGAATCTATCTACAATTTTATCATTTCATGAAATAAA